TGATGAGTGTGGCACTGTTTTAATGGCATTGTGTTCTGTGTATGGCCGTGTCGTGTGGCACTGATTTGTGTATAGGGGGGGGGCACTGTTCTTACTGGCAATGTGTCGACGCTAGCCTTACACAAACAGATGTGGCGATTTGTGGAATTAGGTGGTTGTGGGGATAATTACCTTGTTTTAGTGAGACTGATTGTCGGCTCTCTCTCTCTCTCTCTCTCTCTCTCTCCTCTCCTCTCCTTCCTCTTCCCTTCCCTCCTCCACCCTCCCTTCTCTTCCCTTCTCATTCCCTTCTCCCCCTTTTCCTTCTTCCCCCTCCTCCCTTCCCTCCTCTTTTCCTTCTCTACCCATACTTTCCTCCCTCCTCCCCTTCCCCTTTCCCTCTTCCCTTTCCTCCTCCAATCCCTTGCTCCTACCTCTTCCTCCTCTCCCCCTCTCCTCCTCTCTCTCTCTCTTCTATGTATTTTGCATTTAAATTAACCAATATTGCTCCCCTAGTGGCGGGGAAGATTCGCCCACTCCCCGAAAATATTCCCTCCAAAAATCTTCCCTGGGGTAAAAATCTATATTGGGATAATCTTGTCCTCTCGTACCATTTCCCAATATATTTCCTCCAATATTTTCCTTAATAATTATTCATGGTATAATTTCCCTATTCCCCAATTTTTTCCCTTTTTATCAATATATTTCCCTAAGATTTTCCCCCAAATTATCCCTTTCATTTTTAACTATTATTTTCTTTCACAATATTTCCCCCATTATTTCTACCTAATGTCTTTTCTTAATTGTTTTTCCCTATATTTTCACACAATGTTATTTTGGTGTGTGTGTGTGTGTGTGTGTGTGTGTGTGTGTGTGTGTGTGTGTGTGTTAGTAAATCATCATCAACACCATCATCATCATCATCATCATCACCATCATCATTTTTTTTATAACTATAAGTTGTTTTCGAGTTTTGGTTTTAGGTTAAATAAAAACTGTACATTATTTTTTACCACAGATTTTGGGGGAGTGAATTTGGGTTGTGGAGAGAGAGAGAGAGAGAGAGAGAGAGAGAGAGTCTTACCAATACGCTGCTGGTGATCCTGTAGAAGTGTAGAAGGATTGAGGAGAAGAGAGAGGAAGGAGAAAAGAGAGAGAGGGAGAGGAGGAATCAGGAATCCTTACACAAAAGAATCCTCTCCTCACCTCCTTCGACTCTCATCCTTTGAAAGCGAGATCATCCCCAACTCCCCCACTTCTTTCTCACACTATGCCTCCCGAACCCCTCCCTCCCCCTATCTCCCGCCTCCTCCTACCTCCTCATCCAAACCCCTGGCTCCCTCACCTCACCCTTCCTCTTAATCCTCCCTCCTTCCACCCAACCCCTCTCCCCTCTCCCCCCCTCCCCCTACATGAAACCCCTACACACCAGAACTTCCTACATCTTGTCCTACTGAGGTCTGGCTTTGGGAGGGGAGTGACTTCTTTCCACACACACACACACACACACACACACACACACACACACACACACACACACACACACACACACACACACACACACACACACACACACACATACATATAGTAAGGTTGTTCAGGTGGGAATGGTCGTTACTGAGTACAGACAGGAGGAAAAGAGGTATTTCGACCCCCGTGATGGTAACAGTGTCCCAGGGTCAGGTCAGGTCAGGTCAGGTCAGGTCACATGTCGGCACTAAGAGGGGTGGTCAGTGCTGTGTGTATTTGTATATATAACTCATACTTGGAACATTTAATCACTATAACAAATTCTATAACTGTTTTTTGTGTAAAGGTCATGAGGTCAAAGGTCAAGGTCACAGCATTGAAAACGTCACCCCTCCCGAAATGCAATATGGTTATAGGTCTTTGTGGAATGTGGATGCCATATTGGCCACCATGTTTGTGAGTCTTTCTTGAGTGAGTCAGCTGTTATCTGGATTAATTATTGCTAAAAATTAACCTATGAATTTATTATTATTACTATTACTACTACTACTACTACTACTACTACTACTACTATATACAGCTGTGTATACAAAGTTATAGTGCTGATATAACTGTAATTTTATATACATCAAGTCAAATTGTGTGTGAATGAACAAATCTTCCATTATAATCAATTTACATAATACATTTAATCAGTGTCTTCATTACTAGCGTCTTGTATTGAGTGTGTCCGGCCACGTGTTGTCAGCAGCTTCACATAAATCACTTTCCCCACACACAACACACTAATCCCGCCTCCCCACACCACCACAGCCTCACCTCACTAATTCAATGATGGCGTCTGGTGCTGGCTTCTGGGGCGTTATGACTGACGCAAGATGATAGCCATCTTTTGGGGCAGCCGTATATGTCTGCAGGTGGAAGACTGGTGCGCGGGTTGCTGGCTTGTAATTATATCATTTTCTGTTAATTTGGTCTGTGTATGAGGTACATTAGAGCAGCTTGTGTTAGACGCAGTTTCTTTTTTGGCTTCATCTTGATAACGTGTGAAGAGATGCCACCATGAGTCTGTTGGTACTGACGTTTGAGGTGACAGACGACTTCCACCAATGATCTCAAAGGTGGCATCTCATATATCACATTTTCCATCGTTCACTGAATACTTTTTGATCAGTGGTCACGTGATCACCTGTAATGTTATATGACCTCACACGACTCTTAGTTGAAGGACCACAGTTCTTTATCCTTCCTTGAAATGCTTCAGTACTGTACCTGGTGATATAAGTACTCGCTAAGACATGATTTTGTTTTAGGGTTGTTTAAGAATGTCGTCAGTGTTGACCTGCTTGGTGTAGAGTCGACACAAACTGATTCTTCGTTTGTCTCCACCTCAGTGCCCCGCCGCCCTCTTGTGTCTTGTCTGAGTGAGGCGCCAACAGTGTAATGATCAAATATTACATGGACGCTCTCATATTCTGCGGCTTTGTTGTGTAAAAAAACTGAGAAACACTTTGGACAGATCCTGGCAATTATACATGTGACACTGTCTTGAGGAAAGTTGTTCACCTACCACCACGTCCTGTGTGTTCCTCCGCTGGGGTTATTATCAGGATTGTTTGGGGACAGAGTCTTCACCAACTGGTCTTCAAGAATATGTGTCAGGTTCTTATCATTGACTGGGAGAAGAGAATCATCTACAGTGATCTTGGTACTCCAGGAAGTTAAAAGTTACTGACTGAGTGTTGGACATCACTACCTTGTTGCCGTCACCATCCTCACTAACATTGACAGGTTCTCCATCAGTTCAACAACCTCGCTGCCAACTTTGGTCAGGACTGTTGTTCCTCTCCAACTATATGTCAATAGTTGCAGCTTCATCAACGCCTCCCACAGACTGACCTCCTGGCATTTAACTCTAGTCTTCACAAAATCAGTGGCCACTTCTTTACCAACTGTATACTGACGGGTGACAGCCTTGTGGAGGTATACTGTTGCCTCGATCAGTGTTGGGTGACTTTATCTTCTTGGTTCTCGACTCCTGCATCAGATGTTCACGAGATGGTTTGAGAGGTGAACCCTATTGTAGATTCAGGTGAGAGTCTGACAGTACAACACAAAACAATGCTGGTAAAATAGTTAGAAGTTACAGAGGAGTTTTGACTCTATTGTGTTGTGTGGCCGAGTGGAAGCTGTACACTATACATGTGATTTACTAACTAATTTATACATGATTGGGTGATAAGCACTTTAATAATTATAATCAATTCAGCAAGTCCAACACATAAACATATTGCCAACATGTCTCGTCCACTACATAAACATATTGGCAACATTTCCTACCACCGTCTATGTTCTCCAGAGTTCAAGTTATATTTCAACACAACATTTGGACAACATTCATCTTTTTTATCATTATGGTATACAACATGGCGTGGTTTATAACAGTTTAACATTTATTATTTATATTTTCTAGGATAATCACCGTCGTTATTATTATAATCTCAATATATCGACACATTCCTTTGAAAAAAAATATACCTAACCTTACATAACCTGACCTGACCAAACCGAAGAAACAATATAATTATAACTGATTTTTTTTCCTAAGTGTTTCATTTACAATATAACCTTAGCTTAATTTAATAGTAAAACTGATTTACAATAGTGTAGATTTTATTTACATTAATTTTAAGTGGATGAGAGAATTTACAACTTACAGCACTTATATTTAAACTGATTTACAACTTGTAGTATTTTTATTATAGTAATTTACAACTTACAAAACTTACAGATTTAAGTAATTTACAAGTTATATACTAGTGATTTACAAATAACTTATGTAAACAATTTAAAATTTTCGGAACACAAAAGGTTGATATATAAGTGAATAAAAGTGAGTATAAGTCAGTATTAGTGAGTATTAGTGATTATAAGTAAGGATACGTGACGAAGCAAGTGTGTGTGTGAGTATAAGTAGAAATGATTGTAAGTGAATTTAAGTAACTATGTGAGTATAAGTGAACGGGATTGAGTCTAGGTAAATATACATAAGTATAAGTAAATAAAAATAAGTATGAGTGAATAAAAAGTAAGTGTATGGTATTATAAGTGAATACAAGGGAGGTATAAGTGAGTATAAGTGAGTATAAGTCAGAGTAAGGGAGTAGTTAGTACAATTAGTGGAGATGAGTGTACTGTACTGATGAACACCAGCTGTACAGTACTACCTTAGTGACGGCCCGCTGGTTCGGTGAGTGGGAGTGAGAGGGAAGTGGGGGAAAAAAAGAGGAGTTTGTTTTGATGGTGTGGAGTGTGTTGTGAGAGAGAGAGAGGAGTGGGGAAGGAAGTGAGAGGGGAGAGTAGCGTTAGGGGGAGGAGAGAGTGAGAGGGAATGATTGAGAGAACTGAGAGGGAGAGAGAGAGAACAAAACCAAAATGTAAATAGTTGTAAAAGACACAGACAGACAGAGAGAAAAGCACCCCTCCCCCGACCAGTTTGAAGAGAGACTAAGCCCACCTTCTCCCCCCCTTCTTCTCTCACCACACAGGGGTTTGAAAAGCCTCTTGGACCTCAGCTTAACTACCGAGAGAAGGAGAAGGACATACTAGATGAGCTGTTCCAGAAGAGTCATTACGACAAGCGAATTAGGCCTTCAGGTGTCAACGGAACAGGTGAGTGTCTTCCTCTCTTCCTCTCTTCCTCCTCCTCCTCCTCCTCCTCCTCCTCCTCCTCCTCCTCCTCCTCCTCCTCCTCCTCCTCCTCCTCCTCCTCCTTTTGTTCACATTGTTGCTCAGGTGGTGAACAACAAGGAGTGGGTGTTTCTGCGTATGCGTATTGAGTTTGTTTACACTCTAGGATAGGAAAAGGAAGGGAAAGAAGAGTAGTAAGAGGAGGAGAGAGGAAGAAGAAGAGGGGGAGGAGGAGAACACAGCCAGCGCATGCGTAGTGTTTGTTTAGGTAGAGGGATATGAAGCGTTTCTACATTTTCAAAGGAAGATTTTTATCACTGAGTCAGGGATATTTTTCCTCCTCTTCCCTCCCTTGATGATGACCACATACAGTATATACGTCTCTTATACCTCACATATATATACGTGTGAAATATATAATAATATATACCTTCATATATCCCTGAAAAATTATCCCCATTTAATTCTTTAAGTATATGTATATAACTTATTCTTCAGTGTATTAACTATGTCATATATCAGTATTTATTTGTTGTCTTTATATACGACAGGTGAGGACAGGTGTACTGTATAAGATAAGGAATATAGTTTATGAATATATAATTACTGGCTATTGTGTGGCTCCCTCTTGTTGTGTGCACAGGTAATGGGGGTGAGTTGTGTACACAGGTAATGGGGGTGAGTTGTGTACACAGGTAATGGGGGTGAGTTGTGTACACAGGTAATGGGGGTGAGTTGTGTACACACCAGTAAGAATAAACTGTTCTTTAGTACCTGTTATTTGATATTTTTACAGTATACTAATTAAATGTGTACACCTACTACTATGTGTACATCTACTAATATGTGTACATCAACTAAAATGTGTACACTAACTAATATGTGTACACCAACTAATAAGTGTATTCCAGCTTATGTGTACACCTTACTAATGTGTACATCAAATAATGTGTACACCTACTAATGTGGACACCAACTAATGTGTACACCAACTATATGTGTACACAACTGATTTGTGTGCACCACCTTATGTGTACACCAACTAATCTATCTATACCTAATATATGTGTATACAACTAATTTGTGTACACCAACTAATCCGTGTACACCAGTTAAAATCCACAGCACTTATTCTGTGTACGCAATTGAGGCGTACATGACTCAATATACAGGTGTGTATTATTACTTTACAGGTGTGTTACTCATTGTACAGTTGTGTTATACATATGTGTAAGTATGTCTTAATTGGTGTGTATATTGTTCGTGACTTCGGGTATTTGAAGACTTCTGTGCTGGATACTTTTAATTTAGTCAATACTTTAGTATGGAAAGTTATAACATCAATTACACTTATGAACTTAGAATTATAAGTAGTGTCGTATAAGTTCCTTCAACATCCATTTTATTTTTGGCTGAGGGAGGATTAGTCGTGTGTGTGTGTGTGTGTGTGTGTGTGTGTGTGTGTGTGTGTGTGTGTGTGTGTCTGTGTGTGTGTGTGTGTGTGTGTGTGTGTGTGTGTGGTGGAACTAAGAGTACATGTATGTGTCTTAAGGGCGCCTCACAAAGTCAGTGTTTATTGACAATATATTTGACTATGTGAGGTTGATATTGAAGGTATTGACAATACAAAATATTGATGGAATCTCGATTGATGAGTTTCAAAAAAAATTTAATTTTGTCAATAAGTATTGACCGTGAGGCTAATATTGTCAATATTGGTCCAACATAGCGACTGGCGTCATGGAGTACACAAGTAGGCCTACTGCTGGTCTGGCTGTGTCACCTACCAAACAAAACGTGACGCTCGGGATGTGTCGTTACGGTTTAATCGAACATATAATGAATTACCAATATTATGGGAAGTTACATTAAAAGATTATATGAACAAAGTAAAGAAAAATGCCGCTTATGACAAGTTGTTCGTTATTCTCAAAAAAAGTTAGAAGATGCAGCTTGAATTAGTAGTGAAGATTACAGGTTCCGCAACTTTTGTCTCATTCAGCAGATTTGTATGAGTGTATTTCTGTCACTTAGTAAACCACTCCTTCACCACCGCTTCCGTTCATTACGTTTTTCTTCTAAAGTAAAAGCCAAGATTAAAGCTACACCAGCTTCATGACCCGACACTCTCGTGGTGACTGTCCGCGATATTAAACGTGTGTGTGGTGACTGTTGTCTATAATAAAAATAATGACCACAACATATCGTCCAGACCGTGTGAGGCGCCCTGGTACAGAACAGTAGTGTTGGGTACAAGAGACATTAAGTACATGCGTCCGTGTTTCACAGTACACAGGGATGGTGGTATCACACACACACACACACACAACCAAACCTTCATCTATCAATAAGGGAACATCCGGGGTGACTTGAGAGAGAGAGAGAGAGAGAGAGAGAGAGCAGGTGATAGGGGCAGGTGAGTGACTCGGGCCACACCCACGTAACGAAGTTGTCTTTCCATTCCCTGAGATTAATTCCATGGCCCTCTCTGGCACTGTCTACCCCTGGCACCCCTTACCCTAGGCACTGTCTACCCCCTTGTACTCCCTGGCCTTCCTTGGTACTCTCTGGCATTCCCTGACACTCCTTGGCCCTGCAGTGCGGCCCAGGCTAATTAACTCCCCCTCACCCCCACTAGTCAAGGCTGGCCACCAGGACCCTAGGCAGGGATATCCTTCACTTCTCTGTTTATTATCCTTTGTTATGTATCATACGAGGGAGCACAGTGTCTGTCTGTGTGTGTGTGTGTGTGTGTGTGTGTGTGTGTGTGTGTGTGTGTGTGTGTGTGTGTGTGTGTGTATCAATTTCGTTTTCTTGGCAAATGTCAAGCCTTGGTCGAGAGACTGTCCATTCTTGGCCAAGATACTGTCAAACGTTAGCAGAGATGCTGTCAAGGAAGCAGCCAGTGTCATAGCAGCACTAAAGAGATGTAACTCTCTCTCTCTCTCTCTCTCTCTCTCTCTCTCTCTCTCTCTCTCTCTCTCTCTCTCTCCCTCTCTCTCTCTCTCTCTCTCTCTCTCTCTCTCTCCTTCCAGGGTGCATCGGTCCTCCTGAAGAGATATTGCCGGTAATTTCCTTGTCAAATGCGAGACTAGCGTAGCGTCCAGGGCGATACTCAACTGGTTGTGTTGACTGTTGTGTTGACTATTGTGTTGACTGTTGTGTTGACTGTGTTGTGTTGACTGTTGTGTTGACTGTTGTGTTGACTGTTGTCTTAACTGTTATGTTGACTGTTGCCTCTCCGTCCCTTTAAACATGGTCGATTCTTTGTTTATTTCACACACCTTTATCAATAATTTAAAGGGAATTTTCCATTTTAAATGTTGGGAATTTTTTGGTTCAGCATTTTGAGAATTTTACTGTAATGGTCACTCACTCACTCACTCAAAACATTCCTTACTCACTCACTCACTCACTCAAAACATTCCTTACTCAATCACTCACTCAAAACATTCTCGCTTCTCCTCCTCCACTCCTCAAAACATTCCTTGCTCACTCCCCACTCCTCCCCACTCCTCCACTCACTCCTCACAGCAGAATTAAGTAAAATGGTGACGGTCTCCTGTTAATGGTAGTAGTTAAACAGTGTGTGTGTGTGTGTGTCTATAATGTGTGTGTGTGTGTGTGTGTGTGTCAATAATATTAATGGCATATTAAACAATATAATAATATATGCGCCAAAAGGCATCATTTTAATCATTCCAATCCTTGTAAATCCTCCCATGTAAATCAGTGGCCGTGGGGGGGGGAGGGGGATTTTTTACAGCTCAAAATATTTCCTGATTGTAAAAGAAACTATGTAAATATAGTTAGAATATTTACATCCTACGTCGTAAATAATATAATTGTAAGTAAGTAAATGAATATTGTGTCATTTACAGGTTTGATTGGGATGAAGGGTTGTTAATGGTGAGAGACTGGCCAATCACCATCCAGGAGGGAGGGGAGAACAGAAGAAATGAAATCAGAAGTTAATCAGTGTAATGGGAGCTCTCTCTCTCTCTCTCTCTCTCTCTCTCTCTCTCTCTCTCTCTCTCTCTCTCTCTCTCTCTCTCTCTCTCTCTCTCTCTCTCTCTCTCTCTCTCTCTCTCTTCCACCATTTACACCTTCCCCTTTATCTCTATCTCCTCCTCCTCCTCTTTCTCTTACTCTCTCCTCTCCCTCCCTCCCTCTTCCACTCTCTAATGCGTCGCTTCTACCCTCCTTGACCTCTCACAGCCCTCCACTCTCCCTCCACTCTCCCTCCACTCTCTCTCCACTCTCCCTCCACTGCGTCACTCATCCCCTTCCTCCAACAATTCCTTTCCATCATTCATTTATCTTGCATTCACGCCCCCATCCCACCCTCCTTTTTCCGCTGACTCCCTCCTTCTCTACCCTTCCCATCTCCCTTCCCTCCTTCTATCTCCCCTCCCTCCCCACTCCCCTCCCCTCCCTTCCCCTCCCTCCCCTGGGTCATTCATCACCCCCAAACTTGAAGAGACATTACCTCCCCCTCTCATGGATGTGGGGTAATGAGCTATAAGTCCCCCCCCATGATTCCTTCCTCCTCCATGAAAGATTCCCTATAGTCTAATACTGCAGAGTGGGGGGGGGTAGAGAGAGATGTCAAATACCATTATGGGAGTTTCTATGCCCCCATGACTGTAGCTCCCAGACCCCATGATTATAGCTTCAAGACCCCATGATTGTAACTTCAGACCCCCATGATTATAGCTTCAGGCCCCATGATAATAGCTCCCTATTTCATAGTTATAGCTTCCAGGCCCCATGATTATGGCTTCGAACCCCATGATTATAGCTTCCAGGCCCCATAGCTCCCAGACCCCATGATTATAGCTTCAAGACCCCTCTCTAATTATAGCTTCCAGACCTCATGATTATAGCTCCCAGGCCCCATGATTATAGCTTTCAGGCACCATGATAATAGCTCCCTGGCCCCATGATAATAGCTCCCTGGCCCCATGATTATAGTTCCAGGC